CGGGGCAGGTGCCGTGCATCAGTCCAAACATGTTCCCACAAGCCTTCGACACAGCCGCCATCTTGGCAAGCACTGGGAGGTTGTGGATGACAAACGACACCTCGCTTCGCTGTTGCCGTGCCAACGTCTGAGCGTGGCCTAGGATGCCGAACCCTGTAATGTCGGTGGCTGCGTGAGCGTTGAAGGTGTGCATGAGGCCAGCAGCTGCATGGGAAAACAACGGGAGAGGGAGACAGAGAGCGCGCATGACCGTGGGTGTATTAAGGATGTACACAAGTGCTGTGAGCAAATATTGACTATACGATTTGTGCTGATATATTTACACTCTTTGCGGGCCAGACAATGTATGCCACCTGGAAGCAAAAACTAATATTTTTACAGATTCAGCAACTTCTGTTTCACATTTTCTTTAGATATTGCAATGCAATCGCGGAAGGCTTTTTGCATTACATTTTGCTATATTAGCAGAAGCTCATTCAACATTTCTCTCTGCCCAACAGCATACGGCACCAGTCAAACATTTGGAACGTTGGTTCTGGTACTGTGTGTAGTTATGCAGAGCATGAAGGCCTTTTTAATCATTTAATAATCTATCATAGGCATAGCTTGTTTGGTATTGATGCTTCTTGTTATCGAGAATGATTTGTGGGAAGTAAATAAAAAACACTTTAAACAAATGGTTGTCACTGTCTATTCATTTTCAGCAACAGGAATTTAATTTCTTTGACTGTATGAAAATAATTACTAAACCTCTTCAATATAAGCACATTGTAAGTTTTCATTGACATGGATTTGTGTGGCGGCATTATCTTGTTTCCTTTGGGAAAGGAAGGTCCGGTCTTTCCTGTACTAAAGGAAATAAGAAAGGAAACATCAAAGCACCTTTTCTTGGTACTCTTACCAAGGCGATCCCTTATAGACACACAGATCATTTGATTCAGTTGGGACCCTTCATCAATACAGGCCTGTTCTGCACTGCCTTTGTTGGGAGTTGAAAGTAGTGACACATTTGCCATTTTGGTTTGGAATAAAAAAAATACTGATTTTTACTCGTTCTGCAAGATGTTATTGGTTGAGGCCTTTGATTGTGGTGCAAAGGCTGAGCTGTTTTAAGGCAGTTATCCTCACTGCCTACTAGGACATTTCCATAAGAGGTTCACCTGTCCTGTTGAGTCGAGCCATGTTCATCATTGCTTCATGGTAGGCCAGCTCCACATCCTCCTGGGTCACCACCAACTTGATCTTGTTCCACTTTTCAGGCTGGGAAATAACAAACACACACACAGCCAGTGGCGTTAGTGCGTATCCTAAAAAAGGAGGGGCGTGGATACAAAGTGATTGGAGTGAGTGAAATGAGCGGCGGCGGCAGGGGGACTCACAATATCCAGCCACTGATGTACTGCAACGGCCACTTGTGTTCCGAGCGGCTTGGTCAACACCAACACGTCTCCTGGCACTGCATTGTCTGGCCTGAGAAGCATCAAAACTGATTGTTTTTTTTGGATAACAACAAAATGATAAACAAGAAGGTGACGTGTGCGCTGTGGAACTCCTTCATACATGATGAATTCGTTCGGCTGGCAGACTGTCGTAGCGACTCCTCCCATGACCACCCAGGGGTTGAGCACTGTCTGTCCGCCTGTTACAGATGTGCCGGCCTCCTCTGACGCGTCCTTGAATCCCTGGATGACCAGTGGCATGACTTTGTCTCTCTCCTGTAAAGCACAAGAAAATTCGTAAACAAGAAAAGGAAAAAGGTAATAAAAACATTATAGTTAATATATATTTGTGTTAAGTCACTCTAGTAAGAGTGGTAGCTGGTGCGTTCTACCACAAACACGTTTTTTTGCAGCGGTTTGCCAGAAAAAGGATCCAAAAGTGAACACATCTGTAGACGTGCCTCATACCTTCTCTGACATTTTGTTGCTGACTCCCAGAAGCATCAACATGTTGTCACACTCCGTCACGCCCATGGCATACAAGTCACTTAGAACGTTGGCACAAGCAATTCTTCCCTAGAAAATGGAAATACTGACCATCAAGTACAGCAAGGCTTGTATTATAAAGGCACAACCAAATAATACAAAGAATTTCAGAATAAAATCCGTACCATCATGTAGGGATCATCCACAATGGGATAGATGTAATCTGTTGTCTGGACCAGAGAAAGGCCTCCATGTCTGAGGGGGATCACACAGGTGTCCATTCCTATGCCTTCAAAAATACAAGAGATCTATATGTGATATTTTGTGCATTTCTGGTTTTATTCTGACTGCTGGGCTTTGAAGGAGATTTAAACTAACTCATTTTAGTGTGCAGTCATTCGCCTATCATCATATCTCTTGGTCCCTTACGTAGAGAGAGTTTATGAAGAAACTTTATATTTAATGCCAAAACCAAACTGGTTTACTCTACAGAGGAAAATTCTTCTTCCACCTTTAACATTATATGTACTCATTGTAACTTTTGTAATTTTTTGTTATTAGAGTACTATACTAGGGTCATAATAACCTAATCGGGGCATGACCGCCCCCAGGAACTGTTCATCTTCTTGATAGTGGTTCTCCTGTAGAGCTTCTAGCAGCTTCTGTAACACATCCTGGGGCACCTGTGACAGACGACAAAAAACACCATAATCATTATGCTGCATTCTTTTACATCACATTTGATGGAATATCGAGTAATATGAAGAGATATGCCAAAACAATGATGCATTCATACTGATACAGATATTCATACTGAGATCTAACCTTGCACCCAGTACCCTTGAGCTCAGCAAAGCGCGTGAGTCTGAAGTTCTTGTCCAGCTCGTAGCTTTCAGGGTTGAAGGACTCCCTCACAGACATGTCTGAAGAAAGTCTGGGTCTTCACCACTGGAATGGCCCCGGGAAAGAACAAGAGACAAATGTGATTAGAAACGCTGTTTGAATAGATACGTGTTTAAAGCCAATCTTGTTAATTGTGTTGCCTTTAAATACTAAAGACTTCAATCATTCACGTCTGCAACCTGTTATCCACTTATGTGCTCATCGGCACATAAATTCCAGAGAATCAAAGTACAAATTATGTTTAATCTGAAGCAACATTGCTGAATTAAATACTGACTTTGTGTACTCATACTATTTTAAGACGGTGTCAGAGCTATTCATTTAACAATGACACTTAATATGAATTATTAATTAATCTGCTTATTATATTCTTGATTTATATTTAGGGCATGAAATGTCAAACTACGGTGAAACACGTCTCTTAGAATGTAACACAAGTGTAACGTTTTAAGATATTATCATTGTTTAAAGTAAATTTAAATAAAGTAACAGCAAAATCCTTACAATTGAGGTACTGGATATAATTAAAAAAAACATGTATTAACCATCAGTCTTACAAAGCCATTTTGAGGACACTTTGAATTAGCAACACCGCATCAAAGCAACAAAACACATGGAGTTATAAACACACTAAAATCTCTGATAAGTCTTAATGTTAAATAAAAAATGCATAGGTGCAGGAACGTGGTGGGTCCATTGAATTGTGCTGAAAGTGAATATCCAAAAATATAGTCCTGCTTAGATTTAAATGACATTGAATTGATAAATTGCAAGTGAATTTGAATGGTAAGGACTGACATATTTTTGTTTATGTATTTCGATTACTTGTCTCTTATTCCCCTGTGTTTCTTTCCAGCTGCTGTTGACCCCCTGAAGGGGCCGCGGGGGGGGGGTTAGCGCACAGTGGGAACGTTCAAGAGGCAAAACGCTGCAAAGTTCATTCAACCCTGATGCACCGGCTCACAACAACAGCGCCGGACACTCGCTTTAATATCAATCAACTCTTTTAAATCAGACTCGGGATACCTGTGCTTAAAGTTACACCGTTACACATCTCACTTCTGTGGCCAAACTAAAAAACGCCGTTTCCGTTTGCATGCTAGCTCTCGCTTGCAAACGCCGATCAATGCGTTGAGGCGATGAGCAAAAAAAAAGCAGCGCGGTGCAACAAAGAGGCGAGTGCGCGAGCCGTAAAAAAACTATTAAACCGCTGAGAGACGCGTACCGCGGGCCGCAGCGCGGGTGTGGTGCGCGCCGGGTGAAGGACACAGTGACAGTTCTTGGCCCATGTTAAGTTAAAAAGTTGTCGTTGAGCGCCGAAAAAAAAAATGTCGGCGGCGGAAAAAATTAACCCCTTCCTGTCCGTCACCATGCGATGAGTGCAACATCACAGCTCGTATCAATAAAACCGCGCCGAACAGGCTGCCTGTGCAACGCCTGTACTGCTAATGTCTAATATATGTGTTTACAATCGCCCCGAAAACGATTTTAGGACCAAAGCGGAGTTATATTCTTGCAACATTTCCCCTTTAATTGCTCCGTCCAGTTTATCCTTACCAGCTTCACGTTAGCGGTGGATCCCGAGAGAAGAGCGGGGACGGCCCCAGAATGCATTGCGGCTGGAATCGGGCGCCCTCCGAGAACGCCTGACGGAAAGTTAGACGCGTTTGTCTTCTAACTCAGAACTATTAAGCGAAATAATCTAAACTGTCATATACGAACGAAGGCGCTTTGTTAAATTAACCTATACGATCGTTTTTTGTTTTCGTCAAACAGTATACGGTGTGAAATTCAAAGAGGAAACTCACAAGATGTCAAAGGGTCCTCTGTCCATACACTGGCGGCTTCGACATCCCCTTTAATGGGCCGCGAAGTCTGGCAAAAAAATCTCTACAACGGAGTGTACCTTTAATTTACTGTTTTCCCTCCAATTGCTCTTAACAACATCGCCTGGCATGAAGTGTGGGCACTTGACACGGGCATTTGTGATATTTTGGTAGGATTATGATAATAATTTTTGTTGCAATGCATGTTTGTATCTATTCATTATATTAGAACAACGCTCTCATATTGATTTGCTCCTTTAGAAAGATATCCAGGATTACGAACTTTTTTTTTGAACTTCTGTTCTTATTTGGCATATTCTTTTTTAAAAACGACACAAAGACGAAATGGCCAGGAAACCATATTTATTGGTGGAAACTATTCGTGTTATGTGCACAAAAAGCAACAATGTTATGAAAAATCTAATTCACCACAGTATTAGTGATAATATAACAATAGATATGCATGGCCTAGAGGACGTGTGTCAAACTCGCGGCCCACGGGCCAAATCCGGCCCGCCGGGGGTGTCCAGTGCGGCCCGGCGGATGAATACTTTATATGCTTTATTCTTCGAGCTTAGCCTATTCTACAATACATCGTAAATCTCCTTTTGGATGTAATGTTTGTATATAAGGTTGACCCTGCACTACACGTTACACCCATTGAAAAATTTGTCACTTAGGAAGGAAATTAAAAAGCAATTCGAGCTAAGTGTGCGAATGCTATACTAAAACAGTTGTCTACGTTTTCTTGTTTAAGACTTGCAACTCCTGGTACTGACATATGAGAACTAGGCAAGTTAAAGCTGTAGCCTACAATGTAAACAATAAGCCACAATATATTTTAGCCCCTGTATGCGTTAGTGTCTTTTGGTATTAGAACCCAGATCTCAGTATCTGTCCTGAAGAAGGACCACAAAAGCTGCAGAAGCTGTATGCGAAAGAGACAGAGAATCATTAAACAGGCTTCTTTGTCATTGGGTACTATTTTTTGCCGTTTACATCCATAGAAGAGCGCAGCAAAGGACAAATGTAAAGTGGCAAAATGCAAAGTAATGAAGACAAATAACAAATGCTGTAAGGCCAGGGGGGCAGCCATTGAATCAACCAGTCATGATGACGACCGTCCCCTTCCCGCTTGCAGGCTTCCTAGAGTCACAGCCTATAACGAAGGAAGAAAAGAATTAAGGTATAAAATATCACTTCAATAAAAGACAACTGGGTTTTATATATTTGTTGGATTTCTTTTACAGGTCTTGTAGCGGTCTATCAAAAAAAAATTAAACACTGACAGCAGAAAGATGAATGCTTTTTTGGCGGTGATGCAAATTGGCAAATGAAAGGGGGGGGCGGGATAAGGTGCATGGTGTGAAGATAATTAGCTGACATTTCGGGAAGCTGTGTGGGAATGTCAAATGTCACAGCCGCAGCGCAACAAAGACACGCGAGCCAATGAGCGAGCCAGCAACACCGTTTTGTGTGTGTGTTGTGACAGTGAAGTTGTGAAAGGTAAAGGCTCAGACGGGTTGTCAGATGGAGTAGTGATATAAGGCCTGCAGGCAAAGACACAGACGTGTACAAGTAGACAACTGGATTGGAGTTGTGTGTGTGTCTGTTAGTCGCCATTTTAATTAGAGGTTTGTACTTGTGGAGGGTCCATTTAAGACTTCCTCTGCTTCTGCAGCATCTGAAGAGTCAAAGGAAGAACACGGTTTAGCCGACCCTTTCGAAGAAGGATTGTCTTTGACAATTTTGCAATGGAATTATAGTAAACTCACTGGCGTTTCAATAAATGTGAGAAAATTAGGTGCAACCTTTTGCAGTAGACTGTGGCAGTACCTCTTTTCAGCCTCCTCCTGGCAAGTTTGATCTGATCTTGGAGGATCTGGACCCAGTCTCGTGGCCCGGGCAACTTCTCTATTCGATGTTCAGTGCAGTATTTCTCTGTAAACACTGGACACGGTTCACACAACTACATTAATATATACTTCATCATTTTATTAATGTGTCATTATTGTTGCACCCTGGTGCAAGGAGACTGAATGGGACTTTTGTATTTTACCTTTAATGGCGCCCACAATGTTCTGGTCCAAGCCCTTACGGTTATCATTGAGCCCTCTCTTCCTCTTACCGTTTGGCAAGGAGTTAGCCAGCGTGGTATCGTCAAAAAAGGCGCACACCTGGACACATCACAGCTCCACATTAAACAGGTTTAGCCTTTTGTCAACTTGCCGTTATAAGGGATGTAAATTATTTGTGCTATTGTAGTTTTTAATAAAATGTTAGTGGCAAGTGAGCAATGTATTGATGCGCACCAGTTTCCTGAACAGCAGGCTGCCTGAGCGTGTATAGTTGAGTAGAATGGAGTCTAGCTGAGCCTTTGAGATATACACATCATGATCCTCTGCAAGACGCACCTCGGACTGAAAGAGAATCAAATATCACAGTGTTAATTCTGAGGTATCTACGGACAACTGGTCAATTACAACACTAGATGAATTCGGTTTTTGGAAGGACAAAAAGAGAGTACGCGCAAAGTAATTGTAATAGGTATTAGCTTAATGCTGAATGTAAAATAAGGATAATTGTTCAAGTCATACCATCTCAAAATGATGATACGAGATCCAAAGCGGTAACTTAACAAAATAAGATATCACTTGCCTACGATATTTAATGTATATACAAGATGTATTTCAGGTTACTTAAATGGAGTCAAAGACATTAAAATTTAGAACTTTTATAAAACAAAATTAGTTATATCTTCATAAAATAAATCTGGAAGAAGATGAAGCTGGAGGAAGTCCGATGAATTTAACAACTAATTATACGGAATCATCTTTCACGTGTACATTAGGTTGCGTTGAGAAACCAAATACACACATTAAACAGACTTTGAAACTACATTTTTCAGGAGCACTTGTTTCTGTGGCCAGGCAAATAGTAAATTTGAGTCAACATTTGGATTACCTCCAACGACTGTTCCTTTAGTTGCTTCGGCAGAGGATTGTGAATGCCGTCGATAGCTACTGGATCCTCCTGAGGTGGCAGAACAGAAACCTCAGGCGAGACAGAAAGGCTGTCGTGAGTAGAGGAGCCGTGATCTTTCTCATATCCCTCCGCCTTTCCAGATTCTGCATGTACAGCTGTAAGAGGTGATGCTTGCAGGGGGCCGAGAGCGGCTCTTCTAGGTCTGGTAACATTCGGTGGCGCCACTTTATAGATTGGCCTCCTCTTGCGGGGCCTACAGCGAGGCGAGGGGCCCGGACCGAGACGAGGCTGGCCCGACGATGCTGCCCCTCCGTGTCTTTCCAAGGATGCTAGAAAAAGACAATAACACTAAGGATGTTTCCTCCCTCACTTGGTCACAGTACGTGAGTGTTTGTGTTCATCCGCTTACCTTTCTGCGTGTGCATCAGCCTCCTCATGGAACGCAGTTCCTGCAAAATAGCCTGTAAGGTTCCCTTACAATTACACATGCAGCAGGGGGCTTCTGTTGCATCAGAAGGGACGAGACCTACTGGGAAGACAGTAGAGCGATGGTAAGTGACCGTCTGCTTTAACATGCTTATATGAGTGCAAATTATATAAGTGGAAATTGCTTTCTTGCCGCGTCACAGACAACAAGTGTCTACATGGGAGTGGAAGAGTGTTGCACTCGTTTGGTAAAAAATTTGAGTTGTGTATATTCTTGGTTTTATCCCCTTCAAACCTGCTATGGCACCGTACCATTAGCTTCATTCACTTTGTTCGGATCCTTGGTATTGTTGAGGACCTTCAGGGCTTTGGAGCGAGTGCCGTACTGGCCACAACTTGGACCATTGGGGATGGGGGTGGATATGGGTGCAGGCCCCGGGTCCCCTGCAGAGATCCAGCGGTTGCTTTGGTGGTCCTCTGACACAAGAGATGAAATTGCAGGCTGATGTACCCAGGTCTGATGCCTTTCCTGAGGGTCCTTTGTTAAGCTGTCCTGCTCTCTTACCACACGATGATATACCCTGCCGGTCTTATCACTCAGAAGCCTCATCATTCCTGTGATTTGCCTCTTGATCTCCACGCCCTCGTCCCCTAGCCAAACTACGTTGAGAAAGAAAGGTGTCGGAGTGATAGGTGAGATCTGCCTCGATACATCATAGAGATTTTATTCACGAAATGGAACATACCATCAGGAACAGCGGCATCCTTCGGGTCTCCATTTGCGTCGTTGCAGTTGGAATTCATCACGCATGAAGGGGCAAAATCTGCACACAAAAGATGCAAAGATGTTGCTTTTGGAGGATGATACTGTTATCTACCCCCCCATTCCCCCTCCCATCCCATGCAGAAACCACCACCTGTAGGTGGTATGAAGAAGTGTATCCAGGAGAGGTGGCCTACAACATTTGCTTCAGCAGAAAGTGAACAATCCAAGCTTAACGCCTGATATTCAACATGTTTCCACAATTTAGACTATTCTTCAGTCTAATCACATTCATTCACGAATCCACGCTGAGCCTCGTGTGACATGCAAGAGGACCTCCACCGTGATGGCTTCCATCTGTTGCTTGTGACCGAGGCGCAGGCTATGGACGCGGGTCGAGCTCCGCTTGCACGCAGCGGCAGAACAAAAACGGCCAGACGACAGACGCGCGTCTTTCTTCCATTCGCTCAGCAGCCTACCTTCCTCCGTGACCAGTTTAAAGCTCTGCGACTTCCTCCTCCTCTTCCTTTCCCCGGACTCCATCTTCGAGGAGGGATATAATCACCTTGCAGTCGACAGACGATCGCGCGGTGGAAAAGATTCGCTCCCTGAGAAAGACGGGATCGGTGACAGCGATGCGCTCAGCGGAATCAGCGTCCAGCCAGCCTCATTAATCAGTGCAATTTCTCCCCCACGTTGCGCCATATGGATCCTGTCACCGCAACGTTGCTTAAATTGCCTGGTGAATACTATCGGGTGATCGTTGCTTCTCGTTCCTTAAAATAGAAATAAAAAATGATGCCGCTTTTGCCATGTAAATACGTTAATGACTTTAATATTACATATTCATAACACATCCCTTTGCGCCACCTGATGGTATGTTCTCATCTGAAAGGTAGAGTCACACGTTTGCCTCTTTGGTGTCCAAACAATGGACTGGCGTTTGGAATAAAGGCAATAATGAGACCACACGGGAAACAAAAAGTTGTTTCTGAATTAAATGAACATGGGCAATGGTGCATTTGCTCATATTTTACATTAAAAATAATGACTCAATGATCATCTTCTCGAATGTAATGTAAGGTATTGTTACATTTACATGAGAGATCATATTTTATACACAGGCATCATATTGTATAAACCCTCTTTAGAGTTGGTGAAAATAGGGTATCCTTATATCTGATGTACTATTATATTGTGCATCAGTGGATTGATTTCCCTTCTCTCAGGTCATGACCTCGAACATTCTGAGTCACTGACAGGAAACAGGAGTTAATGTTCACTCACTTGGGACAATTGTAGGTTTCTTTAATCATCATTTCATCAATTCTCAACCATTTTCAAACTGGTCAGTTCCTGAATGTTGTGCGATTGATAGAAGTGTTTTTTTTGCATGTTGATTTAGTCATTTATAGGTTCGAATATTTGCAATAATGCATCTAATTAATATTTTGAGTTAATATTCAAACAGTTTTATTTATTTATTTGTTTTATTAGTCCCAAATGAGAGTGATTGACCTTGAAATAATAGGATGAATGTTCGTAATAAACGTACTAAACTCTCTTAGAAAATAAAATAATTAACAAGGTGACTTAAATGGTTGATGGGTGAAAGTTATATTTTATTTTTTCCATTTTTATTTTGAAACACAGTGAACAAAATAGAAAGTGATACGTGCTCTTATACTGTAATGCAACTTGTCTTTAAGCTAAACTTCCGGGTTAACTATCGGACCCGAGCGTTCACGAGCTAACGTTGCATCTGTATTGTTTTGCCGAAATAAGCAAATAACGACCACAACTGATTTATCAATATGGATATACTGAAAGCTGAGATCGCAAGAAAAAGAAAACTCATCGAAGACAAAGATCTTGTTGACGTGAGTGACTAACGAAGTATCGTTAGCTTGGTCACCCAACTCTTCTGCTCAAGTGTTTCCTTCGTTAACTGCTAGCTGTTTGCTAACGTTAGCTAGCGTTAGCACTCGGTTCAGCCGACGCTGCCTCTCCAGAATCATCCACCTGCTCGCGTATTTCTTGTTGGATGTATTTCACATTACTGGACGCTATGTAGCGTTAGCCAACTCAAGTGGTAACCCCAGTGAGACGGACATTAGCTTCCTAATAGACTGAAAGCAACGATGCTAACGATCGGTCGAGTCGGATCGAGAGCAAGTACGCAGCGTTATCTGAACGTTAATTTTAGACGTTCACAGTGTAGGCGGATATTCTAGTATTCATTTTAATATCATTAAAACGTGGAACGTTTCTTAAACACTGGGATTCAACGAACTGGCGGTTCTATGTTAGCAGGGTTTGTTTTTAAAACTGGATGGCAACGCGATGTGGAAAAGTGGCCATCGGGGAGGAACGTGTCCCCAGACAAATAAAAACACCAAACACAAATGCAATATTCTTTATGTCTTCAAAAAAGATCCCATAAAAACAATCTAGATGTATAAATAGTGCTAAGAGGGAATATGTGTTTTATGGGGGAAGCTGTCCCATTAAATGATAGACGTAGATGGAACTATGTGAGCTGTTTTCAGTGGAAGTATTTTTCTTAAATTCAAAACAACATGGACCCCTGTGTTACAACATATTTCATTTTATTTTGATACAGATACAATTTTTGAAAACCTCAGTCTCCCCTGTAATGTTTATAATTCATATGCAGAATGTTTATGTAATTTCTAAGTACATTGGCAGTCATCTTATATTAAAGATATACACAGTACCATCATAGCATAAGAGAAGGAACAGGTTCGCCTATGGAACTTTGTTGTGCGATCATTTCTATGTTATGCCTTGTCAACGATTATTTTCATAGCATTACACATTGATTTTGAATAGAACTGTAAAACAATCCAATTATCTTTCTGCTTCCAGGACTCCAAAACATTCTTCAAAAGGTCTGATCTGGCTCGCAAGGAACAAGAGGATTACTTCAAAAGATGTGGATATAAGGTTGATGTCAAGATCACTTTCTTTCTCCTACTCTCACACACAAACACACATAAATCATTGCCTTTCTTCAGTTTAATCTCATGTTTGGGATGTCACTCTTACTACTGTAGCTTAACGTTTTGCACGGAAGCAAAATAAGGTCAGGCAATGATGCCCAGGTGTACATTGGTGTCTGTGTGTGCTGTTTTTTCCCAACCTGCCTCTGCTGCCTGCATCTGTAGGTGCAGAGAGAGTCACCTGAGAGCCAGGTATGGGATTGCACAGTGAAAGTAGCTGACAGGATGCATGATGAAGCAGGATAAAACACTCTGTGTCCCAAAGGTTTCAGCTTCCTTGGTGCCCTTTTTTTTTGGAAGTCAACATAAATATCATGATGGAGACATCTTTATTTTCCAGTGGAGGTTAGAAATAACTCCACAAAGGCACTAGATAATGACATTTATTCTACACCTGACATCTCAATCAATCGGTAAACCAGTACTACATTGATATCTGGCCTAGGCTTAGGAGAGCTGGAACATTCAACCAGCTCTCCTCTGCATATTGTGCATGTTGAATTCACTACAGTCCAAATCATTTTGAAAAGTCAATTTTCTTTTTTGTTTAGTAGTTTAAGTAACTCATAATCTAACCTTTTGCACTCCAAAACATGAATTACTCAAATAAATCCAGAAAATTATGAATATGCTGAAGCTTGTCATGCTTCTGATCAATATTTATGCCTTTAACAATTTTATTTTTATATGCAGTAATTATTAGGGCATCTATACTACATGCAGGACCAGTTATCAGGAAACAAATCCACAAACCTAGTGGGACACAGACATTGTGTAATCAGCATGTTCTACTGAACTGAAATGAAAGATGATTCTGTTCTGTGCACCTCCTATTTTGCACATAATCTGTGACGGTAGCTGTACTATTTCGACCATCTAAATGTTTCTCCTGGTTTGCGTTGTTGCTCTTTAGAAAACTGCATTTCTGTTCAACTTTGCAAATTGGCTTGAAATGTCTAAAGCTTTGCTCTTTGTACACATGCATTCAAACGTGTTTATCTGAACAAGGGTTGTTTGGGAGGCTTTTGTTGTCTTTCTGTTTGTTCTTTTAGATTGTGCTCCTCACACCACAATCTAAGAGTGCTGAGATGCATGTTCCTATAAAAGCATGATTTGAGTTTCCTTAATGATAAAAAATGTACAATGAAAAAATGCAATAGGATTTATTCAATTTCTCAAAATCATTGCTTATTTTCAATGACTTGTCTTCATAGAGGAGCCTGCAGGTAAGATAAGGATGTGAATATGTGCATTCAAACATACCAAAAGGACACATCCATGTCCCTCCTGAGGTCTCATTTCATAAGGACATGACATTTGCATTGTCCCAAAAAGAGAAATCTTTCAAGTTTCTCATTAAATGAGCCTTTATCAATCCCTTCAATAATAAGTGTATTTCTGTCTCCTCCATGTTGTCCTGAAGGTTAATAAGAAAGATGAAGATGAGCAATCCACCTCAGCTAATCCAGTGTTAGAAATGGAACTAACGGAAGAAAAGCTGCCAATGACACTGTCAAGACAGGAGGTGAGTCAATATAAAATATCATGTTCCCTAACAATATTATTCTTTCCATAACAGAAATGGGTTGAGTTTTTTGGGTTGCTCTGTGCGTGTAGGTGGTTCGGCGGCTAAGAGAACGAGCAGAACCAGTCCGGCTGTTTGGAGAGTCTGATTATGATGCCTTCCAGAGACTCAGGAAGATTGAGATTCTGACCCCAGAAGTTAACAAGGTAGGACAATATAGAGGGACACATCATCCAGTAAAGCGATGATGATTCTGGGGGGAAATAATCATTCAATAACCACAAAATATTAAAAAAAAAGTTCAACACTGCCTCTGCATCTAGGGCTTGAGGAACGACCTCAAAGCAGCCATGGACAAGATCGACCTGAAGTACCTGAATGAGATTGTTGGCGGAACTGAGCCCGGAGAAGTGGACACACAGCATGACCTGAAAGTGCACGAAGAACACACCACCATAGAAGAATTGGAGGTAGATTGCAGATTTAATGCTGCGTGCTGTACAGGATCAGGTTTCTGTTTGATCAAGATATATACAATTTGTGAATAACTACTGACTCATTCCATCTCCAAATCTGTGCATTGCAACATCGCTATCAGTTGCATATGTTCTATGAATTTTGTTTTGCAGTAAGATATGGCCATGATTGCGTTTATGTTTCAATGCTGGAACTCTCCTTCAGGCTCTTCGTAACACTCTTGGCACCGGGGACGATGAGGGAGACCAGGAAGTTATCGACAAGTTTTTGAGGGTAAGGCAAGAAGCTGATGCTCTACCTTTGATCTAGCTGGAGCTGTTGAATAAGAAATGGTTCACAGTACTATTGCTGCTTTTCATATTATTTTCAATAATGTTGATTTAAATTGTTCTTAATCAGCAGAAGAGATATTATCTTTTTTTTTAATGACAGGATTTTTATTGCCCTCTTTTTTTTTTTTTTAAATGACCAAGATCACATAATCATAACATGTCATGTTCTATAAACTGTCCACATGTGTATATGATTTTGTCAATACAGGGAAATGGTTTTATGCTTCTAACCTTTTTTTATCAGTACTTCAAAAGGATTATTAAAGGACAAAACAGCTCATTGTTTTATGTTCAGTGGTTTCTATATAACAACTTTACTCAAATATTTCTAATATGTTCATTCTACATCTACATCAGAAGCATGCTGTCACTCACTTGAGGTTTCCTCCTTAGGAATCCAGTTGAAGCCATTGGTTTTTTTTCAGTTATTTACCTTGAAAGAAGTAAATAACATAATAGTAATAAAGGTCTCTAAGTCTCTTTCTGCACATTTTTCTTTTTTGATACTTTTTAAAAAAAATTTAAACATAGCTCAACAACATAGCTCTCAATCTCAAATGTACTCTTCCTACCTGTTTCACTTTTGGACTGTTTAACTTCTTTCATACATACGACCCTTTGATCTTTTCCAATGCGCTTTTTAAATTACTGAGTAAATCAGGTCGCTACTTTGTGTTCTTGCAATAGGTACAAATAATTGTGAAAACTTTTCATGATATTAAATGTTCATGTAGCTGTCCCTTAATAACCTAAAGGTGACTGTTATGTGGAAACATGTTTTCTATTTTGGCTTCCTGTCTGCAACTCTCAATACCCATATTTCCTGTCTTCTAGTTCCTTCTTGGTGTTTGGGCGAAAGATCTGAACAGCCGGGAGGACCACGTGAAGCGAAGTGTTCAGGGCAAGCTGGCCAGCGCCACTCACTCGCAGACTGAGTCGTACCTCAAACCGCTCTTCAGGAAGCTCAGGAAGAAGGTAGCATTTGTGGAGGGAGTAAAACAGCCCACAAGGATTTCTTTAACATGCTTTTAATTTCTTATAGTTTCCATCTCTCTTTAATCTTTTTCAGAGTTTGCCAGCAGACATCAAAGAGTCAATCACAGACATCATTAAATTCATGTTGGAGAGAGAATATGTCAAGGTTCGTTTTCTGTATAGCAGAGTTATGTGTTAGCCTCTTCTTTTATTAATGTATAAATATATCAACTTCATTCAATTCTATGTGCAGGCAAATGACGCCTACCTGCAGATGGCCATTGGTAATGCTCCTTGGCCAATCGGTGTGACCATGGTGGGAATCCACGCTCGTACCGGGCGAGAAAAGATCTTCTCCAAGCACGTGGCCCATGTTCTCAACGATGAGACGCAGAGGAAATACATCCAGGTGAGAATCCCTGGGATTATCGCCAGCGATGAAGTCTCTATTGATTTAATAATTATTAATGACAAGGGTCGCAATATATTTATTTTATTGTACTACCAATTTGTATTCTGTTAATTTCCATTGATATTGTAATTACTTTAAGTGACATGACATCTTGAATATTATCATTTAAACACACAAGGGGGAATTGAACCAACATTACCCTAACGGAAGTATATTTCATATTTATGTATTTGCAGGAATACAAACCTGCGTGTCTGTGGTGACTTTCTCAGAAAGAAACTCTATTGCAATTTTTCCCTAATTGTACAAGAAAAATGGAATTATCAACACACTTCTGAAAGCTTGTGTATAAACAAAAAACACTCCAGAGAGTTAAACTCACAGCCCAATTTTCATGCAAATGTATATTTAAATCTTAAATCACTTTTCTTAGCAACTTTACTGAGCTTTCTGTTGAAGAGTTCTATCATTAAAGTCTGAAAGCATATTGAATGTGAATATCGTAACATGTTTGTGATGCGGGACACCTGTACCTATCACTGTAAATATTTAGCATTTAGCCTGTTTAAGTTGCTGCTTCTCTGTGTTGATTTGCTGCATATGTCCATAATGAGTATTAAACTGCTGAGGTTTATAGAGGAGGTCAGGTTGAGGTAGTTGGCTATTCATCTACGTTAATTACTTGATAGCCATCACATTATATTAATATGTCTAATTGTGACTTCTACATTAAGAGAACTAAGCAGTTTGTGAAATGAACCACCAGGTGGGACCAGTCGACCCGTGTTTATACTTCTTAAGTTCTCATCTTAATTGCCTTCTGTTTGTGGTTCTGTAGGGCCTGAAGAGGCTGATGACTATCTGCCAGAAACACTTCACGACGGTTCCATCAAAGTGTGTGGAGTACAACGCTCTGTGACCTGTAACTTGAGTCCATCTCAGGTCCATCGGATTACAATCCAACGTGGTCATTTTGGCAGCAACTTGCTTCTCGCTTCTGGCATGACCGTGTGACCGAGGAGACATTTGTCAACATGTTGTATGTGAAGGGCTTTCAGGTACATCTGCATTTTTTTGAGATGCCAAGAAACATCATTTAAGCTGAATAGGACCCCGTGTACAACCAGACATGAAACTATCTCACATTTAGGTCTGAGGACACTGTCATGCCGAGAATTCGCTCCTGCTTGAGGACATCTTCATGGACGCTCTTGAGTTCTAAACTATTCTCGACAGAAAAGGGAAACAGTAAAAAGGTTTAACTTGATAGCCGATGCTAACAAAACCACATTTTCCAGGGAAACTATTTTGTCAAAAAAGCTCCAGTAGTGTAAGTTGTATTACATCTTTTGACATGCTGACATCAATGCAGATCCATTTTATTTGCATGTTTAAGGTTTCAGTATAACTAAACCAATCAATTATTTCGTGTACTATCTTTGTATGGAAATAAAGTTGTTGTAACACCAAACAGGACGGATACACTTTTGTCTGAAATGTGTGTGATTTGCTCTCGTGTTCTGCTGCTGGACGGCTGAATGGGACTATTTTTAGCCACCATCGTTTCTTTTGTGTCTTTAAAATATGTGTCTGTCTGCAGTGGAAAACCTTCTGTAAATGTGCCATGACATGCTTCAGTAAAATGTTAGATTGTGTGGCTTGAGGGTCGGTCACTACTAAATTAAGGCATCAGGGTTCCCTTCAAGGCAACAAAACAAACCCGATTTGCTACGACTGATTGCTGATGGAAACCTTCCAGTAGTTTGCTAAGATGGTAGCGTCCAGCGTCACACACTGACCTTATTACAGTAACCATGGTGATCCGATCTGGTTCTCGTGGTTATAGAGTGTGCACGTTACCGTCGTTTCTGTCGCTCTGCTTCAGAGCCAGCTGGACAGGTTGACAGTTGGCAGTGCAAATACTGTGCAGTGGAGCTGGGACTTTCTCTGGAAATTTCCCACACACAGCACCCTTACCCAACCTTCACCATTGTTCTTTTCTTCCATTTTTCATTTGGAGGCATTTATCTGCCTGACCTTAAAAAAAGAACTAGGCTAAATATTTTGGCTTTTCTCCATGGAAATGTTTTGTTTCACTGTGCTTAGCCGAGGCCTTTATGATGGTCCAGGTCCCCATCCCCTTCCCCACTGACCCTGTACTGAATATGGTGATTTAATACGGCCTGAACTACCTGACAATGAGTTAGTATTCATCATGTGCATAACTAATCATTTTTTTCTGAATGACCTCAGATCTGTATGGTCCTCTTGTAAGATCTGTGAAAGTTGATTAAAAACCTGCTCGCTGTGCTTCTTTTGTTTTCCGAAGTGGTTTGCGTCAGAGACGGACGTGTGAGGGATCCACCAGGTTTAATTATCACCTTTGTGTGCCTGAGATTCGTGGAAGGATTATATCCATTTCTCCTGTATAACTGCATATATTAGCATGCCAACGTGGAAATGAAGGCAGTAGTGCTGTAAATGGTGTTAATAGTGTTTTATTTCATGATATGTGACAGTAATCGTGTGGTAGGTCATCACATACAATGATTATTCAGGTTATTATTTTGTGACGGTTTCAGCATGTTCTCAGTACCTTGTGTTTTGCATTTGACTCTAGTAAGCCGTCCTTTCAAAATTAAATCAAAGCAGCAGTTTGTGATCGTACCTTTTATGGAAGATTTCAGCTCATCATTTGGTTTCCAGGGAAATGGCTTGTCTGTGGTTGTCTGCAAGCTTGCAGGGTTTATTGAAGCTTAATTTCTCTTTTTTCATCTGGACTCACTGGACCAATCGTTGCCGAGCACCTGGAGAGGTGGAAACCCTGGCAGAGGCACAGCATGTCACACCAATATGCCTCACTTTCTCTTTAGTCTCTGCCCTCTGAGTTTCTTCCTGGATCCCATGTGATGTAAATGCATTTATAAATACTCTCTGTCCCGTCGTCACAGACAATGAGACAAATCTGAACCTCTGCGTGTCTGTGTCCTGTCTCCTGTTACTTCAGGATTCATTGCCACCTTCAAAGTGCTAATTTTATTTTAACGGTCAGAGCCTCGTTTAAACTGCTAAACCGTCTGCCAAATGAGATGCATTGGGGTCACCCAAGGGTGACAGCATGTAGGAGAAGGAGAGGAACATGCTACAGAATGCTGCTTTTGGCACAACATTCATTTATTTATTCAGCTTCTTAATTTGCTGTTTTCTTTGAGGTGTATCAAAGGTTCATGGTAGAATTTATTGTCATCCTCTCATACAAAAAGCAGCATAGAGGGGAAGGAACTGTGTCAAGTGTAAGTGGAGTACGTGTTACACATGACTAGTTTCATTAAACACAGTAAAGAGCTATGGATACGTATGTATAAATAACGGTCAACCCCTATTGTGGATATATGTCTGGATACGTGTCCATCACTGTGCCCCTGCATCACCCTTTCTGCTCAGCTGATGTTCTTCTGCAATCCATTTCTATCAGCAGCACATAAATGGATCTGTTCATATAAATTGGCGTGTTCCTGTGAGGAGCCGTCACCATGGTGAAGTGTGTTCACAGCCACGGCTTCCTTTAGTTCAAAGAGGACAGGAAGGAAGATGAAAAACGACCCAAATAAAAGCCCTAAATTGATGGCGAGAGGATGTGAGGCTTACAGGCAGACCTCTCTGGCTTCCCCCCCATTTTCCCCCGAGCAGCTTTAGACCGCCTCTTGTTTCCTTCCAGTGTCCTTCAGATTTCTCAGTACAGCACTTGTTTTTTCCATCTCCAAGGGCGCATTGTTGTTGGCAATAGATGCCTTTACACTTTGGCATGAGTCCTTTGTGCTTTACAGTAAGCGTGCTGCCCTGCTGCCGTATGAGAGCAATTAAGGAGAGAAAAACGATAAGGCGACAATTGTTTAAACGTCAAATCAAACATTTCTCAGAGGAAAGTTTGTTTTTCTACTGGAATTTAAAACGGGGCCACTGTGGGTTTCCCACCGACTTTATAAAAGTCAGGCACTTTCAGAGATGCCTGATTTAAACCTTTGTGCTGATACATTAAACTGATCCCTTTCTGCTGACGCTCTCCAGTCAAACGTCTGACTTGGGAGAGAGAGAGAGAGACGGAGGGAGGGGTGGGGGAGGAACAACTCAACTTGCAGCGCGCGGAGCGGGGAGGACGCATGTGGCCCGGTCTCTCGGCTGGTTTGGTTTGACACTGTGTGCGCACGGAGCTAAAGCCTCTTTCGCCCTTTGCGCCGGTGTTGTTAGGACATTGCGCCAGTGTGAGAGGGGGAGGGGAGGGGGGGGACACCACTGCTGGAACACGTAACAGCGGGATCCCTGCGAGTATGGACGCCCTGCAGGCACAACGCGCTGGAGCAGGCGGCGTCGGGGAAGGGGACGCCGAGGAGAGGTACCGCGCTCTCGCCTTTGACACGGCTGTGAGCACCCTGGTGGCCGTGGCCGTGTACGCGGTGGTGAAAGTGAGCCTGGACGGCTTCAGACAGTGGCGGGCCAGGATCTCGGTGCTCGTCGTGGGTTCGGGACCCGTGGGGCTGACGGCCGCGCTGGTCGCTGTCCGCTCCGGTAAGGTGCTGAAACTGACCGTGCTGGACGAGAGGTACCGCGCGGCGCTGCTCTGCCGGCCACAGCAGATCGCCTTGGATCCCCGCAGCGTGAAGTTTCTGCTGGGACTCGGGGTGGACTTTGATAACATGGAGGGCTGTTGGCACAACGAGCATTTCTTCACCCGGATAGGCGTGTTTCAGGAGTACCTGCTGAGCATCCTAGAGCAGAAGAAACTGAAGGTGGACGTCAAGGTGCAGCTGGGAACCAAGGTACAGCCTCCTCATTTCAGCAAACTAGTGACACCTCAAGGCTTTTAAGTCATTATAAGGGCTTCATGCTCAAGGTAATCTCATTAGTGTTATTAGAAGATATAGATATACAACTTATGTTACGTTTCCTGTCACATCATACATGTATGGCACATTCATCTGAAAAGCAATGGGTTTTGTCTTTTGTAATGACTGCCTGTCAAAACCTGATCTTTCAGCATTGAAAGAAAAGTGTCTGATGGCAACCAGTCATGTTCCTCCGTGTTTTTCTTATCAACCATGTATTTATTTATCGTAGCAGACATCCTCATAATATTTGAATAATTTCTGTCACGTTGTTCACTCTGTACACACAACATATCAACATATCCGTCCGTTCCGGGAGAGGGATCCCTCCTCTGCTGTTCTCCCTGAGGTTTCCTCCCTTTTTCCCCTCTTGTTCCATGTGGCGATGTGACGGCTTTGGGACAGAGGATATACAAAATAAAATAAATAAATAAGTGTGCAAACCATTAATATTAACTCTCTGTGGATAAACATCACGTGTGGTATGATACACTTCTTTCCATGCTAGTCTTAACATTGTAGGTCAGACTGAGAGTGGGCTCATCAGTGGAAGTAACCTGTTACGTAAGCTGACCTCAAACCTGAGGAGAATCCGCCAAATGCATATTCATTTTAATTTAACTGTCATCTTGCACATGGCCACAAATTCTTGTTACTGCTTCATAATAAAATCACTAATGTTATCCCTGTTTTTCTAAAAATGTTTATCTGTGTATCCCTCACTGTGCATCAAGAGAACAATACCATCTAAACTGAACCTGCTACACAATGAATAAACACAAAAACCTCAGAGAGAAGCAATGAGTGATAAAAGTGGGCAAACACATGAATGTTCGGTAAATATTTTCATTGCTGGAGGGACAAGCTGCTGTGTTAAGGCTGGACTGCAGTTTTGTGTGTTACTGGTACACCACTTGTATGTTGCCATGCACTCTTCTCTGGCTCTGGCCAGCAGCTTCTTTCCTCCTCAGCCCCAACGTCGTTCCTCATTGCTGCCACTCACCAACCTTCACAAGGTCAGAAGTGTTATTGATCACAACAAACTTATGTTTTGTTTCAAGTCACTCAATTAGAAAGGACGTTTTTTGATTTTGTTTACCCATGCATGCCGTCAGTGGTTCATCCTGCAAATAGGTCTTTTAAATGACTTGTTAATGGATTTGACATAGATCCCTGTGGTTCTGGGCCAATACATCCTCTCAAAGTCTATTTTACTCTCTCTTTTATTCTGTCAGTTGGCTTTTTCCTGCTCTGTGTCCTCCTCTGCACAGGCAGGTACCTGCTGTTTACTGAGGGTCATTGACGCACATGGGCACCATATTAAAACCCTCAGAGACATGCGCTGTTGCCATGACAAGCACAACCTCGGGTGAATGGGTTGTAAGAGAATACAATATGAATCATTTGTTCATAAGACGGATAGGCAGTGGAAAAGTTTATTTCTATATTCAATTTTATAATATTGCTAATTGTTACAGAAATGATTGTTGTAAAGGCTGTGTTGTTGTAATCACTAACTAATTAACTAACTAACCATTTAGCAGATTAATCAATGAAGCAAATAATCGTTAGCTGCAGCCTTATAACCTTTAAAATGTCTTTAGAAACTGGTGGTGGTCTAACTAGCCTACATGTACTGTCCCAAAAAGGTGTTACGGCTAATTGCATATGTTTTGTAAATTCAGAATTTATTAGTAATCACTGATTTTAAAAAGTACACAACAACTAAAAAAGTACATTGTACTTTGCATAGTCGATAAAAACGTAAATTCAACTGTAAATTAAGTTTTAATATCCAAAAAACGTTTTTTTCCCCAATTTTTGTCCATGTCGTGTTTCAGTTCTCCGAGGAATACCTGCGGCGGATTCAGCGGAACGAGTGGCCTCGTGTGATTGTGGTGGCCGACGGGTCGTGTGGCGACTCCTGCTCCGTGCTGGGCATTAGCTCCGACTACACCGTGGAGTCCTGCCATGCCTACGGAGCTAATGCCACCATAGAGAGACTAGATCAGAGACAGGTTAGGACACATTGGCCATCCGTAACGCACACATCAACATCCACTAATGGGTGCATTCACTCCTGTGCACACACTGAGGCAATAACCAATACGTTGCTGTTTGTGTAAAGAATGACGGCAGCAGAAACAGGATATTGCAGTATATTATCGAGAAGGAACTTTATATGACCTCATAAAGCTGAGTTGAGCAAACAACAATGTGGATCTGTAAATAGCAGCTGAATACAATATGTGACTCATTTGCACAGCTGGATTACAGCAGTCGGTTGAATCTCTTCTGCACCGACGCAGGTTCTATTCTAATTTACTCATTGAATTTGATGAGAACAGCTGTTGTTGTGATGGATGCAGGTGACTGAAATGATAGAGCTTGCAATTCATTAAGTCCCCCCCCCCTCCTGGACAGACTCGTAGTCGTTCACCTGCCAGGTGACTATGAATCAAGATTTAAAAATATCTGCTGCCATTTATTTTGCATAGTGCCCCGGAGGTCACCTGACATCTGAGATGCAGACGGTTCCTTAACTTACTCACATCTGTTCAGACCAAGAGCCCCAGAAAAATAAAAAATAAAAATAAAAGTAAATAGTCAACATTTTCACAGAGAAAAAATTTAATTAATTATTTGTTTGTGTAATAAACTGCAGATTAGGAAATAACAACAGAAAATAAGAAATATCCCATCCCTGCTGGTCCATGGACGGGGAAATGCAGACAAATTATATTGATCCGGCCCAGATATCCAGATGTGATCAATAGTATCGCTTCCAGGTGTGCATTTTTTAACATCTAAATGGTTCTATGCCACCATCACCAGATATACCTTCTCTTTAGAGGCTCTGTAGCTGCCTTTCATTGAAGCCTTTTTTCCGTGACTGCTTCCTGTAATGATTGAATTCACCTACCAGGAATATGACGTGGTTATTTCTTAAGTTGCCTCTCTGTTGCGCTGAATGCTTGTTTGATTGAATGTGGCTGGTTTACGTCATTGAAAAGATATTCTGTTTTAAGGGAAAATTAGTTTGGGGGGGGTGTCACTGCCAGACTGAAGCACGGAATAAAATCCAGCTACTCTCAATGTCCACCCGAGTGACTACAGCCCCACAGGCAGACGTCGTATATAAGTAGTGTTCTATCGTATTGATTTACTGTTGTCCAAAATATCAAATATGCCATTAACTGACTACTGGTCCTCGGAGATTTAACTCTTCTCTTTACTTCAGGTTCCCACTCCTGAGATCCGTACCCCCAGCCTCTACTTCGACCTGTCCGCCTATGGCGTGGAGGCCCTCCGAGAGCCCAGAAATCCCGCCGCCAAACCTGGCTTCCACCTAAAGATCTATGGCACCTTCAGGAACCGCTACATGGCCCTCGCCTGCCCGGCCTCTGACACCAAGATGGTCCGCTTCCTCCGGCACACGGCCAACTCCTCTGTGAGAGACGCTTGTCCCTGTTTGATTTAACAAAAACGTGGTGTCTGTTTTCGATAAAGCTTCTAGGTGACGTAGAACACACAGCTGTAACTCTACGTCAATGTGCTTTGAGTCCATTAGTGTCCTCGTGTGGATGTATGTCTGCTTGAGTGTTTGCGTCTGTGTGAACGTTCTTTAAATGTGAGTGTGTCTGAGTCAAAGAGAGCGTGAGATAAAGAAATAATGAAAAGAGGGACGGAGAAAGGTGACCTCACTATTCACGCTGAACAACAGGCCACGGATGCATTTGTCACCGGTGGGCAGTCAGTCTTTCATTTAAACTCTCTGAGTTGTTTTTGTCCTACTGCTTTGAGCAGCGCGCACAACATGGAGAACGCACAGGAACATAGCAGGACCATTCTCAGAGCGCATGTTGCTATGTGGGCGGCCATTCAGATTCCCTGTTACTTAGTAACAGAAGACTGAGCAAGTGTGGGTCGAGAAAAAACAGAGTTTGGCAGAGAGAAAGAGGCCGAGAGAGCAGGAGAGGCTTCACACTCATTAACCACAATTACCAGGATCAATGAAAAGGCACACAGCAGCTATTCTACTATGTCCCTGCATGGTGATAAAATAACAGAGTCAAAGTTGCTTTGACACAGAACCTTTTACTTTAGAAGTGTAGGTTGGACTTGGTTGCATATAAATCATTTTTAATATTGATGATTTACTTTTCTTTTGAAATGTGAATAAAAAAAGCACAGAGAAAACGCCTTCCGCTATTTACAACGACCAAAAACGATGTCTTCCAATTGGTATTAATTTTCCAGTTATGCAATTTAAAACCCGATAAGACCATATAAAAAGCTGGAAGAAGTCAACTTGCTGACAACTTCTGTTGATCAACGGATTCTTAAACAGCTAGTGGTTTCAGCTCCGTCATGGTGCATTCTATGGGGCGCCGTTTGTAAAATGTCGCACGTTCTAAAATCCTGCGCAGTTTTGCTACATCTAGCATTATCATATGAACAAAAAAGCACGACAATATTCACATGTCACTTTTTCAAACATTTAGAGAAAAATTCATGTACATTCATGCAATAACCTTTCCAAGGATAATGTTTAGCAGTAATACAGTTATTAAATAATATAAATGTTAAATGTAAAACTAAATGTTAAATCTAAATGTACATGTTAAATGTACATGTTAAATGCAAATGTTAAATCAAAATGTACATGTTAAATGTAAATCTAAATGTTAAATGTATATCTAAATGTTAAATGTAAATCTAAATGTTAAATAGAGGCAAATTTCATTTTGAAATGCGGTCCACATGACCGCAGTGGAGATGGGGTTCACGGGTGGGCAACGTTGCGCAAACCCCCCTTGACCTGACCATCGGCAACGATTTGGCCGCGCCGGTGAAGGCGGGTGGGGCACGGGCGCGGATGCTCGCGGTTAACGGGGGACGGGTGCGCGGCCAAATCGTCGCCGATGGTCCATCCATTTACATTCAGATTTAACATTTAGATTTAACATTTAGATTGAACATTTAACATTTACATTTAGATTTAACATTTAGATATAACATTTAACATTTACATTTAACATGTACATATAACATTTCAATCCGGAGAGACTTGTTGAAATTTGAACAATGCTTTATTATAACAGGTGTAATATGATATTGCAAGTTGTTTGGGGCTTGGACTCCATCCTGCCGCAGGGTAGACCCGGGGCCGGGAACTCGAGCCGAGACGAGGCGTATCCCCCCCTTGGGAGTCCAGACACTGGTGGTGGTGGTGGTGGTAGAGCCCAAGTTGCATAACTCTCCTGCTATGCCAGGTTCTGCTGTAGATTGGAGGTGTCAGGGGTGGTGGCGGGTCACCTTTGGAGCGTGCTGAAATGACAACTGACAGCACAAGAGAGGAGAACAGTTTTTAACGTTTGCCTGCCCAATGCGATTGGTTTACGGTAACGACACCCACGTCTGATACTACCCGACCCCGCCCCTAATCAGCTGGCCGTGCGCCCCCGGGAGAGAGGAGGCCACCAGGGAGAGAGGAGGCCACCAGGGAACGGCACAGCCTGTCCAGTCTTCCTGACTGAATTTTTGCCTAAGCTTCATTTAACATTTACATTTAGATTTAACATTTAGATATAACATTTAACATTTACATTTAGATTTAACATGTACATATAACATTTAACATTTACATTTAGATTTAACATTTAGATATAACATTTAACATTTAGATTTAACATGTAGATATAACATTTAACATTTAGATTTAACATTTAGATTTACATTAAACATTGACATTTAACATTAAGATATAACATTTACATTTAGATTTAGATTTAGATTTAACATTTAGATTATTTAACAACTTATTACTGCCAAACATTATCCTTGGAAAAGTTATTGCATGAATGTACATTAATTTCTCTCTAAATGTTTGAAAAAGTGACATGTGAATATTGTCGTGCTTTTTTGTTCATATGATAATGCTAAATGTAGCAAAACTGCACAGGATTTTAGAACGTGCAACATTTTACAAACGGCGCCCCATAGCATTCTTCCATTTCTCTTTGTACGTAAAGACTCCATATCCAAATCATTAAGGTGCATAAAGCTTCTTGTCACTTCTCACTTTGTCCTTATCTCACACACCGTTCTGAGATAAACGGTGGTGCAGGTTGCCATAGTTTCACTGCGGCAGCGTGACGACTGATGTGCTGTGGGGAAGTGAACATGTCTCCATGCATGTGTGAATGTACTGGTGTCCATGAGGAAGTCACTTTACAAGCTGGCAAAAATTAAAAAGGGTAAATCGGAGTGGACAATGCTACAAACTCTCTCTCTCTCTCTCTTGTTGGGCAGATCATGAAGAATATTTTCCACCAGTCCTTCAATGTTTATAAGACGGACATCGAGCCTCGTCTCAACGACGTGACGCTGCACCGCATGCAGTGCAGCCGGCGTCTCTTTGAGATTCAGTTATCACACAGACGCATCAGCGCTGCCTTCATAGAGGGGGACAATGTGGCCGTCACCGTGGAGGGGGAGGCGGCGCGCGTCCTCAACTTTGACACAGGTACATCTGTGCACAATGTACTAATATAACATGCAACTTATGCAATATAGAATAGGAGAGGGTCAGAAGTATTTCTGAAGGTGAGACAACAGTGAAGCAGAACACAGATCACTTTGAATAAATGAAACGGAGTGAGGAAGAGCGATGGAAATAAAGGCGGCACAAGTGGATGAATTGTTTTGTATGCGAGCAGTATGTCTGTGTGAGTCACTACTGCACTCAGTGGCCTTTCGGCTGACACTTATCTTGTTCTGTTTCTCTGCAGCTCTATGTTTATTCATGTTTATAAGCCATAGCCATATCTGCAAGGCCAGAGTTCACTGTTTGTCATCCAAAAGACAAACAGCTCACATCTTATGGTGAATGTGTTTGGCTGATATAAGTTTAATTTGGCGAGTGTATAAGGTCTGTGACTTACACTCTCCTTTCCCTTTCCGTTTATTCCCTCTACACCTAATCATCCACCAGGTTGCGGAGTGAATCTGGGTATGCAAGGACTGGAGTCAATGGGGACGTTCATTTACCAGACAGCCACAGCTGTGGACCAGAACGATGTTCTAGAGGCACTGTCTGCTAAAATGCAACACTCCAGACAGGTGGCCGAGAGCTTCAAGCAGACAGGCCTGGCTCAATCAATTTATGAATGAAACACGAGGACGGGCAGGTGAATGCATAGTGCCCCCTAGTGGGAAGTGGTGGTGGATTGTTTGTGTTTACACTGAATGTTTACAATGAATCACTGTTGATTACACACTGAAAGCAGATGAACGGACGTGATCTTTGCCTGGATGAATACAGGGTGTAAAGATGTGACCACAAGTCGTTGTGATGTACAATGGGTGGAGCTATTTAATTATGCATGGAGCACACATGCCATGGACACATTTGCTACGAGGCCTTTGAAGTTCTGTTTTTTCAGGTTGCAAAGCTCGTCAATTCAAACAGATGCAGATGAGATCTGACACAATCTACAGTACATTGTCTATTAATGCACTGCACTGGATTTGGATTCCTCTGTTAAGTGTCAGAACGAACCGGATGAGGAGTTTCCTAAATCTAGTCCATTGTGTTCTCTTAACATCGGTGTAATGAGACTGTTGTGCAGCAACATCAACAGGAGCTGAATAATGCATTAAACTGTTATTGTATGTGATTTAACAGAGGAGCACATGTGTAGAATCTGATATCCAGTCTATCGTGCCGTTTGTCCTTGTGTTTTGCGTGGCGCAAACTGTGTTGATGACGTTGTGAAGTATGTGTGTGCTCTTTTTTGTGTACTTTTTAAGCAGGTTTCAAAAGCTCCCATTAAATAGGGCAATTGTAATATCACAAACTAATTTGGCTGGTGTCACATTCATTTCTAAAGAACTGAAGTGACATTTGAGAGATTGGGAGTATAATAAAATCCTGCTCCTGTTGAAGTGCCAATAAATGTGGTGGTTGGGTATAAGTTATATGGATCGTCTTTACATAGAACCCCTGTATGTTTAATTGGAGATGAACGCAATTTAACAAAGGTTAAAGCAACCAGTGTAGGAACTTGTTAGGGGTTTACAAAGATTTTTGCAAATCAAATGAAAATAAAATGAAAAAAAACGATGAGCCTTAAAACAGACTTATCTTTTCAGAGTCCGATTACTCCGTAAGCAGAAAGTTTGACATGCTGTTGTAAATAACTATATATTTGTGAGCTGCACCCCATTTAGACAGAACGGTATCATGTGTTGTTTCCATAATAGTTGATATGAGGCACTGCTGCCCTCTACTGGTGCAGCCTGTCTGTTGCACCTGCTTAGCCTCAAACTTCCACACCTGACTAATCTCTTGTATTTTAAGTGTAATCGATCCCTTAAATATAACTTAAGCCCACTGATGGAACTGAGAGGGGCCCAGGATCGTCCGATAGGACACAAGTTGCCTTTCTGGTATTCTTTTCTTTGGTAAAGCACTTTGTAAAATTGTTTAGAAACAAATGATTAAGGGTATTTTTATGGCATACTATACTAGTACATATTCCATGACACTTTTTGTAATGTCACGCTGTACATTGGTATTTCCTATAGCCTTTCTTTTCCTATTTTACTATCAGGTATTTTAAGAACTTTTTGTGAAATTTGATTTAATTACAATTTCATTTTTAACTCTTTCATGGTATTCTATACTGTGACTTTTTAAAGACTCCTTTGTACAAAAATACCCAATGAGTACCATGATTTGATAATCATTAGATTTTCTGCAGTGGGCTAAAGAGTGACTAGTCCTGAGTATAGAAAATATAGGTAAGAGACAATGTCCTGCTGAGATCTATTTAACTGCTCGGTGGCAACATCGTAGCCACCAAACAACTGAAGGCTCTCCCTCCCAAAGCTGTCTGCTCCGTCTAATTAAAAACATTCATCCTCTGGCGTTGTTCTCCAAGGTCAATAGTCTGGACCTTTGAACCGACCCCTGCTGTAGCACAAGCCCTTTCATTAGATTAAACACAATGATGAGAAATCTTTTATCTTTGCATATAATTAAAGCGTGGTTGAAGGACAACCTAATCAATGACGTGGAATGACAAGTTCGTAAATGAATTAGGCCTGCCAATGAGGGCTTGGCTGCGATCAATGACAAATGTTAAGCAGAGAGTGGATGGCTTGTAGTAACAGATACGGGTGAATCTATGAGTCCATGAAAGAGTATTTGATTCTGGGGGCGTAGCTCGATTACTGATGTGGGTGGTCGTGGCATTGCATAGGCAGACTCTGTAAAATCAGGATTTTTACTACACATCAATCAAATATTTATTAGTACATATGATCATGGGAGGCATTTTACACCTCTTTTAGATGACTTCAAACAATGCCAAATTACATAACATGTAACTCCACATAAATGAGTGATATTAATAGCATTGTGTAGCCATGCGAGGGCAGTGTTCTCCTTTGAAATAGCCTCCGGGCTCCATGTGAGCAGGAGCAGGCTGCGAAGCCAAAAGGCAAAACTGGAGGAGGAACAGAACAGTTTACGACTGCGACAGTGTTCTGAAGAATATTCTTATGATACGCTAAAAAATCCAGAGCGAGATATGAGATAAGAATCTGTTTAACTGAATGCAACTTATCTGATACAAACACAGATAATCCTGCTTCTGACCTTGGCTCAAAGTAAAACTCAACAATTACTGTTGCACCTCCCAAAAATGTTCGTGCAGCACGACGTTTCGCTGCTTCCCCTCGGAGGAGCGAGACAAACGGTAGAAATGAGTGTTTTTGTGATGGTCCTCGGCTGGCCTTGGGAGTTTGTGTTTGAAGAGATGGGAAAGGATGTGAGCACGAGCTTGTATTGACAAGCCTTCAGTTGCTGTCCGACACACAGACAGGAAGTCACTGTCACATGACTGAGGTATCGGCACCTTGTCCGATTGCACAGAGGGCCTCTTATGTATGCTGCCAGCACAGATACAGCCCGATTCATCCACAATCCAACACTTACACACACACACACACACACACACACACACACACACACACACACACACACACACACACACACACACACACACACACACACACAGAGACACAGAGAAAGAGCGAGAGGATGCGAACAAAAGCCTGAAAAAAAAGGAAATACTAAGACTTTCATAGTATTAGTTACACCTCAGTCTAATTGGTAAATCACAGATCAACAGATTGAGTTGAATATACCTACCTGACTGGCGTCTGTCAAACAATTATCAGTTCTCCTAACTGTTCGGCTGCTATCTGCCCCATCACACTCACGCGCCCCAATTTCCTTAAACTTGTCACAGACAATAATTGGGCCTTTCTGTCTGTGAGAAAATCAGGGCCGCTGTTCTAACTAAACCACACATCCTTCATCTTTATTCTTCCTTCTCCCCCTTCTCCCTCTTGTTCTCTTCTTCCCTTTCTCAATCACCCCTTTCCCCCAATACAGCGGTCCTGTCTGCCCCATCTCCACTTCTTCCTCCACCCTAGTGTGTGTTTGTCTATGTGCGCGTGTGTGTGTGTGTGTGTGTGTGTGTTGGACAGGGTGCACACTATGTGACAGCGGTAGCCTCGGGGCCAGGTTGCTGTTGACAGGGACGAGGGTCTCTGATTTGAGGAGAGCAGTCACACCAGTGACTGCAGCTGCCTCCCCAAGTGACACCTCCCTGTTAGTGGGGGAGATGTGGACATGTGTGCCAGTGTGTGTGTGTGTGTGTGTGTGTGTGTGTGTGTGTGTGTGTGTGTGTTGGCAGTGTTGATGGCAGGGTTGGCGGACTGACTGGCTGCCTACAGTGCTCAGGACAAACAGGGGAACCTTCCCTGATGAGCTGACAGGCCCTCATGTTGAACACCTCACTGGGCTCCTGCTGGTGCCGGGACAAAGTGCAGGAGGGGCGATGGCAAAGAAAGAAGAACATGGAAACACCGGCCAAGCAGGTCAGAGGGAGAGAAAGAGATGGAAAGAGGAGACTAAACAGCGCTGGTGTGCAGCGTGCGTGGACTGTGCGTCTGTGTGGATGTGTGCGAGAGTGTGAGCCTCCAGAGTCCAGGCTGTGTAGATCACCATTCCACCTTATCTAATTTCATTAATGTGATCCCCTGTCCATCCTCTGACGGCTTAATAGCCATTATTTGTGGGTCCCTTTCAATAAAGGGCTCAGCAGTAATTGCAGTCTGTGGAAATCGAGATATAAACGCCACCCTGCATTACTGTATAATATCTTTCCCTTTAATTAACTGAAAGCCATGCTGACATTTATTGGATTGCAAGTTACTTGTTAATGGCAATAAATTGCAAAACAAAAAAAAGAATCATTGCTTATTTTACATCAATAATTTGTGGACCTTTTGCTAATGATTATTCATTACTCGCCTATGGGGACTGTCCTGTTTGGTGAGCTAAAGTGAATGAAGAATTTAAAGATTTAAGTGGGCAGCGTCTACTTAATGTTATGCCTTATGGTTTCTGCATTAAACGCCACACTCCGTTGCTGTCCTTTTACCTTGTCTTACGCATCTGGCTTTCGGTAAAGATGAGATCTATGACATCAGGCTCAAGTTCCTTTGAGAGGAAATGATTACTTCCCTGTAGTGTTAGTAATGTGTATGTTAGTGTATTTTTGGTGGCACAAATATATTCAATGTTAATGAGGACAATGGAACATAAAACTGGGCCAATGTGACAATGATACTCTCATCTGGGCCCAGAAGTCACTCCTCTTCATCCCAACACGTAACATGTGAAATGCGTTTTATTACTGACGAAGATTTAGACCTTTTTTCTAACTAATTTGGAAAAAACACTCTCTGGGCAACTAACTAACTGAAGTACAGCAATACATTTAAGCACAAATTGTTGCAAGAACACTAACTAGCTGATACCCTTTGTGAGTATTTTCTCTTTTGGAAAAAGCAGTAAAACCTTTTATTGTTGCACCATTATTATTTTATGATTGGAAGGAATTGTTTTGTCAAAAAAAACATATTCCGTTGAAGGAATACGCCACTAGAGATACAGAATATATAATGTATGTATATTTATTATCTTTATTATTATCTTCACTGACTGAATTTAGTCACCGATCTACTTTATTTTTTCATGATTAACATTCCCAAACCAAACTCTTTGCATTCAAGGTGAATAATGCCCCAGTGTATTTTTGTTGACGAGGCAACATACAGACATCGAAGCCTCAGAACCTGCCATTTTTAATTTGCCACTGTTAACAACAAAAAGCGCTCTTGTGCAGTAGACGGGACCATTTTCCCCCCTTTGGTGCCACTCTGCGTGTGCGTCACTCAGTTGCTACCAGCTTGCTATTTGGGAGAACATATTCCTTGTCGTGGTGGGCACCCGTCAGAGGGGCGGGTGGCTCTCATCAGGCGCTGCCACTTGCCTGGCGCTGGCATTGATCTCACGTGGAAGGAACGGAGATCTGACAGCCCCCGCCACAAAAATCAGACCCTTCAAACGCCGGGAAAAGACCCACATCTCCCCCTTCTCTCCTGCGCACACAAATGCCCGCACATGGATGACACACAAAGTCAAAAAGAGCAGTCGGTCAAAGTGTACGCATGCAACCGGGGCCTGTCAGAAAAGATCTAGATGACGCGGCTCTGCATGTAGAGACAGATTGGGAAGGAAGGGAGTGGCACGTAGAGCGGAGGGGAGAGGAGGGGAGAGGAGGGGAGGCATCAGACGGACAAAAACGCAGTTTAAATGACGGGACGTGAGCAGGAGAGCCGGCTCGGAGTCGCCCTGGCGACCCTTCCGCTCTCCGTCTTCTCCTTCTCCACGGAAACCTCTCCACGTTGCCATCCTGCCCCTGGGTGATTTCCGGGGTTCTCCTTTCTTCTGCATCATCTGTTGTCTCCCAGTTGTGGATATGACCAGAGACAAGCTCCGAGAGAGAGAGAGACGTCCCTCTCCCCCAATAATATATGCTTTGTCCCTCACACACTTCTCCCACTCATCCCTTCTGATGCCCCCCCCATCAACCTGCAAATGAGCAACTGTGACAGGCAGAGAAAGGGAGACAGAGGGAGACAGAGAGGGACAGAGGAGAGGGCTTGGAAGAAGGGGGTATAAGAGAGAGAGATGTTTATTTTGCAAGGCTGACAGA